TGAAAAGATTTATGCAAAGATTTTTAGATCCAAATAGGCACGAACACCCATTAAATGTTTATATAACAGATGAAGGATTAAATTTGTGGCCTGCTAATATTTCAACGGAATTAATAGACGACATATTTCCAGACTCCTTATTAGTGTGTCATATTTATGAGGCTTATTTATATATTAGTTCTAAAATTGAGGTAAAATGAAAATTTTCAAATTATATTATATTTTTGTAAAAAAAAAGTTTCACTAATTTAAGATTTTATTTTATAACAGGAAATTAAGAAAAAACATCAACAAATGGGAGGAAATAGGAATAAGTTTAAAGCATCAAGAAATTCGAATGATATATTTTCTGAATCTAATTATAATTCAGATGTCACAACTGCACCTATTATTAACGAATTTTTTAATGGGCCATCATCGAATTCTTCTACGTTGCCATCAGAAATACCATTTAATAATGATTTTGTATCAGGCTCTGCAGGATCATCAAGGTCACGTAATGATCAACAAAGAAATCGATCAAAAAAGCAAAATAAATATGATGCAATGTAATTTTATCCTTTCATTATTATTATAAATTAGAATTTTTATAGTTATAATTATTTACATTTAGAAATTAAGTAGCATCAAATCGTTTAATTTTGTTTAAATATGAAAAAATTTTTGTGATATTAAATTAATAAAATAAAAATAAATCCAAGATAATTGTAGTATATTGATCTGGTCAGAATTGAAAAAATGATGGTTTGAAAGCTTGAAAAAAAATTTACTATGTGCAAGTACTTTAATAATTTTTCTATTCTTTATGGGTAAATGAAAACCAAAAGAAAATGGATATTTCAAGCGCTCTAGAGATTCCGCATTATATTAATATTTTATCGTTTTACATTTTTCATTCTAGCCTTATTATATTGTTTGTTTATTAGACTAGTAATCCATATTTAGATCTTAACGCTACTCTTGCATATTATTCAATTTATTGAATTTATTGTCAAGAGTTGAATAAGTTATAAAACTTTTATATAAAATACCTCAAAACTTAGAAGATATATTATATACATAATTTTTTTTTTTAAAAAAAAAAGGAAAAAATAAACCTTTCATTAAAATAAAAATTTTGTGATAAAACTAATGTTTATTAATTTTTAAGACTAATGATACAAAATAAGGATCATGTCAAGGACAAGGATTTATGCAAGATAGTATGAGATGAAGACATCTTTGAAAATGCCAAAAGATGTAAATAATTTTTATTCTTAATCTTTTAGGCAATATCAGCCAAAAGAAAGATATGGAAATTTTTAACGTGCAAAACTTCGGATCATAGTTTCTTCAAGAAGTCATAATGTACTTATACTTCACTTAGGAAGAGAAATCCACTTGAAATAAGCAGTCGAGGTTCTCTTAGCCTAATCGATTTAGCAGGCTCTGAAAATATGGCTCTGTCGGCGATCAAATTACAGAGACAGAAAACGGATATATATATTTTTATTTATTTATTGAAGACATGTGCGGACGATTATATACTAGTCCTTCGTTATAGAAATGTGATTCAACAAATCAGGGACTAATCGAACCACATTAACCAGGGTACATTTGCTCGGTAAGTATTATTATTATATTCTATTGATTGATTTCATTGACTTTTTGAGTATTAATTCTTTTTCTATTAAGATGCATGCTATTTAATGTATCACCTTTGGCTGATTCGATCAACGAGTTTGTCTTTGGACAAAATGCAAGAAAGACGCACGTAGAAACGGTGACAAGAAATAATTGTTCCTAAATATTATATTATATTTTATTTTTTCGGTGTTAAAAATTAATTAATAAATATAACAATATATATAATAATAATAAATAAATAAGGGCTCTTTGCTAAAAAAAAATTTTTTTTAGTTAATGCTAATTCTGGACAAATTACAATGGAGCATTTTTAGTAAATAAATATAAATTTAAATTTTCTGGTAGTTTCCCCCTTTCTATTGCAAAGAGCCCTTAAATATTATATATAATTCTTCTGGGAAACTGAACTTTTATTTGGTAAAATGGAGAAGATGCTAAGAATTACGTTAAGCTATTAAAGGAGCTTAGAATCACAGAATCTTTTCACTTTCGATCGCCACAGTGCTATATGACAACGGGACATTCTTTGCGTAGAAATTAGAAATATAGTCCTCGGACTAATAAACAAAGGTATAGATAGTTATTTGCATGTCAACGTACTTCAAAATACTAATGGTCTTGGTTTCCTCATACAACAGAATTGGTGAATGAACTTAGAAACAAGATGTTTATGATTACAAGAAAATTGCTTGTCAAAATGCTGAACATTTTGATGAAAAAGCGGTTGCTAGCTATTTATTTTGTATCTGACAGAGAATATATTACCTATAATAATGCACAAGTTGTTATTCAAAAGACTGATTGTTAAACATAACAATTTACGTGGTGTAACGCAGTGTTGGCATTTGGCCGCGGCCAAGAATTTTTTTGGCCGATTTGGCCGGCCAAAATGGCAAAACGGCCAATGGCCAACCCCGGCCAAATTTTGGCCAAATAACAAAATACTAATACTTTATTAAGGCTGTATTGGCATTTGGCCGCGGCCAAAGATTTTTTTGGCCAGTTTGGCCGGCCAAACTGGCCAAACGGCCAAATGGCCAACCCCGGCCAAACGGCCAAGTGCCAACACTGGTGTAACGTTTTTGGGAATTATTTTGCTGCGCATCATGGTTGTTAGAAATGATAATAATCATGTATATTTCCTGGAATTCTACACAATTCTACAGTAGATAAATCATCCTAATTCTGTAAACTTCCTGATTATTTTGAATAAATTCAAAGCACATCTCATTTACAATCATTCAATCGAGAAAAATAATTAAGGTTTTTTGCGTTTCACATTGTACTCACGTGAAAAACATTGAATAAAAAGAGTAAAATTTAAGTGTATATTTACTTTGTTCCCACGTACAACGTATCCGTATTGGAGGTACATATTATTGAAATCAACTATCGCCTTATTTTTAATACCATATCAGATATATGCTGTATCACGAATATGGTAAAAAAGTAATCTTTTTGTTACAAAATACCCCGAATTTTGAGTCTGTAAAAGTTCAATGATACCATTTTGAGAAACAATTACGGCCTTATCTTTTGATTGATGGTAGATTAACACCATAACTAAATAGGTTGTAAAGTTATATCATGTGACTAAAAAAAATATACGAGTTTTTCCGGTATAAAACATGCCCCAGAAAATAAATAAATAAATAAAAAAAAAAAAAATTTTTTTTTTTGTTTCCTTTCATTTTTTCTTGGGTAGGATAAACGGGCCTATCCTTACTTTTTTTAAAAAAGATTATATTTAAATTTTTTTGGTTTTTTTTTATATTATTATTTACTTTTTTTCTCTTAAAACCATTACGATGGATAATCAAGAAAATAAACAAAATGATGATGATAAGAAAAGTAAAGATAAAGACAAGCAAGAAGAATCCGAAACCAAGGTTAATAATAATCCACCCGAAAATATAAATGATGGAGACAATAAAAATGAAAGTTTTACTGCGCCATATAACAAAACTTCAAAAAATGGTCCTAACAATGAGAATAATAATGAAGATAATATTGATAACAGTAGCGATACCTCTTCAACTGAGAAAAATGATGAATCATCGGCTGAAAATCCTAAAAAGCCAAAATTTCAACAACCTCAAGAAATTGTTTCGGAAACTAACAATGAAGATAATAATATTGATAACAGTAGAGATACTTCTTCAACTGAGTTAAATGATGAATCATCGGCTGAAAATTCTAAAAAGCCAAAATTTCAACAATCTCCTGAAAATGTTTCGGAAACTACTAACAATGAAGATAATAATATTGATAACAGTAGCGATACCTCTTCAACTGAGAAAAATGATGAATCATCGGCTGAAAATTCTAATAAGCCAAAATTTCAACAACCTCCCGAAAATGTTTCGGAAACTAACAATGAAGATGATAATATTGATAACAGTAGAGATACTTCTTCAACTGAGTTAAATGATGAATCATCGGCTGAAAATCCTAATAAGCCAAAATTTCAACAATCTCCCGAAAATGTTTCGGAAACTAATAATGAAGATAATAATATTGATAACAGTAGAGACACCTCTTCAGCTGTTGGGGAAAATGATCAGTCATATAACAATCCTGGAAAATCCGAAAAGCAAAAAAATAAAGATAAAGGTAAAAGTACCAATGAAGGATCTATAGCAACTCATGAAACGGATGAGCGTGAAGATTCAGAGAAGGAAAAATCAAACTTAAATGAACCCACAGAAGCAACTGATCCAATTCAAGCTAACCTGTCTAAAAGTCAAAGAAAGAAATTGAAGAAGAAACAGCAAGCCGCACAGAATAATGAAGAAAGTCCACCGATCACTCAGAATCAATCTCAGGATCAACAAAGCAGTTCAAGTACTTTCTCATCCATTATTATTAATACAGCCAAGAATCTTATACGAACTGATGAAGAAGAACCAGATGATACACACATTAAAATAAAATTTCATGTGCATTTGCCTTCGAATATTTCTGGAATGGGAGAACCAATTATAATGGGTAATATACCTGAGCTTGGTGAATGGAAAGAATTCAAAGTTAAACTTCGTCAATTTAAACGGAGTTTTCAAAGTTATACTACGTATTGGTATTCAGAACCTATTAAAATTCCGATTGAAAGGTTTCAACGTGCTGTTAAATATAAGTATGCTATATATAAAAAAGGAGGTAAAAAAAATAAAAATACTTCATCCTTCCACTATGAAGGGATTAGCGACAAAGACGACCGTGTGCTAGAAATGTATAAAAATCAATTCGATATTTGGATGAAAAACAATAGGGATCAACAACAAGGAATCAGCGATTACATGTTCTTGGAAACCATTTATAATTCTGTAAATCAGAATAACTTCAAAGAAGCAATATTAGAATATGACAAGATTCTAAAAAATAATCGCGAATTAACAAAATCTGTAACCAATTTGGAATTTATTAATCGCCGTAAACAAGAAAAGTCAGTTCACAAACGGCTTTTTTTATGCTTCCTCTTAGGACAATGTAGTTTTAATTCTAATTTTATTGGAAAATTCGAGTTACCAAGAAATTTTCACCCTGGTTCTTTACTTGAAGTTATTAGTAAAATCCAACATGACACATTTCCATCAGAAAATTTGCGTGTTGTATCAAAAGGAATTGGGCTTTTGATTCATCACGATATTGATCGTAGGTCCTTTGAATGGCTCAGAATCTTTCCAGTAGCACAATATATTGACCCTAAATATAGTTTTATTGATTCTATATCTTTCAATTATGATGTTAATTATATCGAAAATTTTTTTGAAAATTTGGATAGTATTATCGCATATATTAATGCAATAAGTAACGAAAATGTCTATGTGAAAGTTGTCAAGGTATATTTTCTTACACGCCTCTTTTCTTTTCTTTTTTTTTTTTATTATGTTTAAATTAACTAATCTTTTTTTTTTAAAAAATATGATTAATTTAGTGGTTGATTAGTCATTGCAACTTGAAAATGTTCTCAAGAATTTGGGCATTAATTATTCACTCAGAAGGAGTCGACAATCAGCTTCGCCCACATTTAGTAGAAAAGGTTGAAAGACTTATACCTAAGCACGACCCTGTTGAATTAAACAAAAGTTTTAAAGAACTTCCTGAAAATATTAGAAAGATTGTCACTGAACCATTTAGAAAAAAAACTATTCAACTACTAACAAATGGACAATTTTCTTTATGGGAAAGACCTCGTGCTGATGCTATTTTTACTCTTGTAAATTCTCCACACTTACAATGGACTAATGTTGATTATCTTACTGTATTGGAAACCATTTCAGACCTAATAGAATACAAGCTATTAGAAAAGTTTCCAATATTGTTAAAAAATTGGATTACCGGGTTCAAAGACACCAAGGATGATAAAATTTCTCAAATATGCGTTCAATGGTATAAAAGACTAATGGATCGAATGTCAACTTTATCATCTAGTTCAGCGTCTCATGAGGGAACATATGTAACTACGGTCTTTCAGCACTTATCAGATGTCTCGATAATTAATGAAGAATCCATCATGAATGAATTGATGGAAATAACATACAATCGTATTAGACATTCTTCAGAATTTCTAATTTTTAGGGCTACAACTAAAGTTGCAAATATGGACCCAAGAGCGGTACTTGTATTTAAAAGAATTATTAAAGAAAAAATTAATTCAACTGTACAAAACCATGATGAATTTTTATTAAAGAAAATGCGAGTTCTTTGCGGTTGTACTAATAATGGTTTAAATATTCCAAATAAGTAAGGTTTATTTATTATTACTATTGTTTTTTAAAGTGCTTTAAATAATTTATGTATTTATTTATTTAGACTTTGTGAAGAAATTTTAAATCACATAATGACACGTTTGAAAGATAACTCTTCACGTATTGATTTTGAAGAATTTTCCACTCAGCTTCACTTATCTTTATTCGAGTCTGCTAATTTTTGGACTATTATTTTGAGAGCAACTGGGAACGTTGAAAATTTTCATTCTCACCCACATGTGCAAGAGGCTAAAACTGCCATTATCAAGTTGGCTACTATGATAAATGATGGTTCTATTGATATTCGTCTTCTTCAAGATTTAAATGTAAAAAATGATGATTTCCTTCACTATTACTTAAATTCTGCGGAACCTAGTAATGAAATAATTACTGAAGGGAAATTAGCAGAGGTTCGTAAACAATGTCGTGACTATGAACAAAGATTGAGTAAACTTGATGAATTTTATTTAGCATTTTGTCAAAAAACCAGTGATGTAGAAAATTATACTGATGAATTAAAAGAACGAAGCAATAATTTGGATAAAATTCAACTAGAAGAAGCTTTATCATCAGATCATTGGGGATTTCATAAAGATATTATACCTATGGCAGAGAATACAAATATATTCATTAAATCTCAAACGTTTCATAATATTTTTAATAAACAATTTACTAATCAGGAAGATATAAAAGTTAAATTTATAGCAGAGACGTTAATTGGAAAAGTTCTAATGGAATATATTACTATATGTAAGCAATATGAAGGATGGAGAAATCTTGAATATTCTGAAGCAACATCATTCTGGTATAATGTTCGTAATTTCGACGATGAACTTAAATTAATGTTACGATTTGGCCACAATATTGATACAAGAGATCCAGGTTTCACGAGAACAATAAGATATCTTTCCGAAGTGAAAGATTGGAAGGAACGTTTAAAATATTTATCAATGGCTCTAATTATTTTCAAAGTAGGACGCACTGAAGATGACTGGCTTGAAACTGGATTTGCAGATCTCAATGATGATTTAAAGTTGGGTAGACTAAGTAAATTATTTGAAATTTTTGATAAAAAATTTTCCGGATTTAACAGTAACAGTTGGGCACTTATCAAGGAATTATCTTTATCTGAAGAATTTATTGGATTCTTAAGAACTATAGCAGAGCATGACATGAAAAATTTAATTAATGGTGTTGACGAACACTCGGATACAAGATTGATTCAAGAAGACACAGTTTCTTCACTTATTCAAGTTAAACAATGTTTACTTCCATTGATGAATAAAACAGATCTAACTTTGGATAATTTTTTGAAGGATTTAAACGAGGTTGTTGATAAAAATCCTTCATTAGCGAGTAAATTAACATTATGTAATAGCAATAGTATGGCATTGCAAAATATGTATAAAACCATATCAAATAGAGGTGAAGTTACAAAGGAAAAGATTCAAAATGCTGTAAATATCGGTACATATTATTTCATTAAAGAGGAAAAAGAAGATGAATGTATTTTGACATTGAAATATTACTCTAAATCCTCTAAATCGGAAAGTAATTACGATATGAATGCGCTACAGGATTTACGAGGCAGAGCACTTTTAATTTCAAAGCCTGGTGGTTCTTATGATTCAGGAAACGGGAAAATTGATGATACCAAAAGCATAATGGAAGAGTTTGTAACACAATTTGATATTGCTCAAAATATAGTTAACCTAATAAACAAATTAACTCAATTAGGACATTTTGGATATCGAAAATATAATGAATCAACCAAAGGTACAAATAGATTAGGGCAGATATCAGAAAAACTAAAAAAGGAATTGGAACTTTGGTAAATACTTCTTCATATTCGTTATCTTTTTTATTAATGGACGTTGTTATTAATAATTTTAATATTAATTATATCTTTTCATAGGGAAAATGTTGTAAACAAAGCGCAAGAAGATTGTTATTATTTAACTTTCTATCCGTCAAGGCATATATTAGCATTTCATGATTTTTACACGAAAGTTGGAAAGCAAACTCATAATTCAAAAGTTTGTCAAACGCTCGTATCATTTGTTAATCGAAAAGCAAGATTACCATATAAACAAAAAAGTCTAGGATTTGGTTGTAGAAAGGACGAGTATTATCAAATTTTAAAAGAAATTGGTGATAGATTAAAATCTATATTTGAAAAGATTCCAAAAAATCCGCGTTCAATAAAAGATGGAGAACGTGTGGTTTCAGACGTAGTGGAATGTGGAGAATTATTTATCGCGGCTTGTGGTGATAAGTCTAGAGTTCCTAATATTATAATGTCATTTTATGCTAATCATGGATTTTACCCTGAACCTTGGCAATTATTGATATGTACATCATCAACCACAGCAGAAGAACTCTCAATTTTTATCAAACGATGTTTTTTCGCGTCAAAAAATGGATATAAAAATTATTTATTCTGCATTGCAAATTTAGAATTACTAGATTTCGAATTACAATATGATTTAGTGAACAATATTAGAACATACATTACAAAAGTAAAAGAGTACTATTTAGCATTGATATGTTGTTCTGAAACTGGCATGAATCACCACATTTTGGACCAATTTTCTGAACATGTTCATCCTACTATAGGACTCAGTGACAAAGCAATGAAAGCAATTTATCAAGAATTATGTCCAAAAGTTGTATGTGTTACTTCAGAATTATCGGGACAAGGAAAAACAGAATGGATTAAACAAGAAAATCATAGAAAGCACTTGGTTCCTAAGAGCTTTCTCATTAGTGATGGTGCAAATTATAACTCACTTGTTAGACAGCTTAAAGATTTTCACATTCGAAATGTTGATAGTTTACATATTAACATTATATCTGCTGATAACCCCGGAGAAGTCAATATATTTTTATTTCAATTATTAACTTTGGGAATTGTTTCGAATAATTCAGATATCGCAAGTCTTACAGATTCTTCTGTTTTCATTGAAGTAGCTTCTAGTTTTGATCAACGTTTGCTTAAATCTCTTCCATTTATTAACTGTTTGGATAGGCCGCATCTGAAATGGAACATTAATAGATTGATAGTATCCCAAGAAATACATAGTCCCATTCAAATTGTTTGTAATTATTTGCTCCTTTACGAAATGGGAGAGCTTGATGGGAAAGATATTTTTTTCAGATCAGAATCGTCTACTGATAATGATGATAGTGATGAAGGCATTATTAGAGTACCACTTACCCATAAATTATGTCAACAACTTTTGGATAAATATTTCTTTAAAAGGATTGATGCCGGGATCTCATCCTTTCGCTTTTTGGATATTTTTATAAATGTCCTTGCAGATCAATTAATTAGATTATCATCAAGTTCTTTCTTCGAAGTTCATAATTTAAACCTTATGATTAGAGAAAATACTGTTCGATCAACATTATTTAACACATTGTTTGATGTTTCAAAGGATTTTGCTACAAAATCAATCCAAACAAGATCTGCGCAATTACAAGAAATTGCGGACGAAGCCGAAATAGAACAATTAAAAAATATAGCACAATGGGATGATTCTAATCACCTTTTAGTATTTTTCATGTCCCAAACTCCTGATTCAATCTGTTCTTTATATCGCGACAAATCAAAGGTTCCAGATAGTGTTCAAAATTTGCTAAAAAGTCAACATATTGAAACTGAAAAAGAATGGAAACTATTAGATTACCGCACCATGTCTTCTGAGCAATTATTGTCTACGTTAGAATGTTTGGCACGAAAAACAATGTACCGTATTGATTATCCACAATATGCTTTATCAGTTGATAATTTATTGAAAATGGCATTAATGTTATTGAGAACAAGAGCAAATATTCCTGTAGTCGTATGTGGAGAGGCAGGATGTGGCAAGGTAAAAATTTTTATAATAAACTTTTGTTGATTTCTTATATCGTTTTTATTTCTTATTTTTCGTATATCCATTTATATAGACAAGTTTAATTGGATTCTTAGCCGGAGTTGTAGAAGTAGAATTTAGAGCACTTAACATTCATGCTGGTATCACTGAACAAAACATTAAAGATTTCATGAAAGAATCTGATAAAAAAGCACAAAGTAAAGAGATATGGTTATTCTTTGATGAAATAAACACTTGTAATCACATCGGATTGTTAGCAGATCTTATCGCTCATCGAATGCTTGATGGTAAACCAATTCATCCAAATATACGACTTTTTGCTGCTTGTAATCCATATCGTCTTAGAAAAAAGAGTATTAGTAATGTTGGAATAAAAGCAAAAAATATCAGGTTCGAAGAACAAAGTCGTCTCGTTTATGAAGTTAAGCCTCTTCCGGACCAAATATTAGATTATGTATGGGATTATGGTAGACTTCAACCGAATGATGAAAAGATTTATATTCAAATAATGGTAAATGACCAATTAGATACTTTAGGAAAACCAATACTTGCTGATTTATTATTTGCTTCACAAGAATTTATTCGTAATGTTGAAGAATCATATAGTGTTAGTTTACGTGACGTTAAAAGAGCAATTAAATTGGTCAAATTTTTCCATAATAGTCTTCAAAACCGTCCAATAAATCAAAAGGACAACAAGAAATCTCATAATAATTATCCAAACCTAGATATTCGATCTTATATATTAGCATTAGGTTTGTGTTACCAGTCTCGATTATATGATCGTGAATTGAGAAAAATATATCGTGAAGAAATGTGTAAAATATTTCTTCGTGAAAAGTTTATTATAAGAGAACAATTATTTAATGAAGTCATAAGGGAAGAACAAATGGACTATATAAAAAGAATGACTTGTCCACCAAATACTGCATTCAATGAAGCATTGCTGGAAAATGTATTGGTTATTATAGTTTGTATTTTAAATCACATACCATTGTTTATTGTGGGAAGTCCAGGGTTAGTAAATACTTCATTTTTTTTTTACTTATTTTAATTAACAAAATTTCATATTAATTCTGCTTCTTTATAAAATATAGTTCTTCGAAATCATTAGCAATCAGACTTGTGCATCAAAATCTTAGAGGTTCCGACTCAAACGATGAATATTTTAGAACATTACCTCAGGTATATAATTTAAGTATTGTATTATATATTAATGATTTATTTATTGATTTATTATTTTATTTTGCAGGTATTTTTTATTCCTCATCAAGGTTCTTCTTCATCTACATCTGATGGTATCGAAAAAGTCTTTCAAAAGGCTAAAGCTTATCAAGATACTAGTTCTAAAGAGTTTCCAGTTATTAGTGTTGTTTTACTTGATGAAGTTGGATTGGCTGAAACCAGTCCTTTTAACCCTCTTAAAGTTCTTCACTCATTGTTGGAGCCAAGTTATCCGGCTGATGGACCTACTGTGTCTGTAGTAGGAATTTCAAATTGGAGATTGGATAATAGTAAAAGTAGTAGAGCATTACTAGTGCAGAGACCAAAATTTGATTTGGATGATCTAATTGAGACCGCTGTTCGTTTACTAGATAAGAATAACTTAGAACTTTCATCTTCTGAAATCAAAAATTATAAAGTTTTTCTTATTCCTTTTGCTGTTGCATATTCTGAATATGAAGTAAAAGGACAAAATGAATTCTCAAATTTTCATGGACTTCGTGATTATTATTCTCTTGTGAAAATTCTTTCAGATAAAGAAATGACTCCTAAAAATATTCATTTATCATTAGCAAGAAATTTTGGTGGTATCAAAAAACATACTGAAACATGTTTGTAATATTTTGAACCTGTTATTAAAAACTTTAATGAACATAAAAGTTGGACATACGATCAAATACCCATCAGCATTCTAATTAATGACAATCTTACAAGCGAAGGTTCTCGGCATTTAATGGTCATAGGAAAAAGTGATTCTATTGTAAATATTTTAACATATCAATTACGCGAAATGAATTTTAATCCAGTTGTAATATTGGGATCACAATTTCCGGAAGATCGTGATGATTATTCTTATAATATATTGAGTAGGATAATGGTAAGTAAATTTTACTTTTTTTATTTCCTTTATTTAAAAATTTGTTTATTAAATAATCTATTAATTTATATTTCCATTACTATAGATGTGTGTTGAAGCCGGGCAACCTCTGATATTAACTGATTTAGAGATTATCTATGGTAAATTTGCTATATTTCATTCGTTATGGGTATTTTAATAATTATTATGATGATATATATATAAAATGCATATTAAATTTTTCTTATTCACCTGATAGGGAGTCTTTACGATTTGTGGAATCAAAATTATATCACAATGGGAAGCTCCGATGACCCTAAATATTTTACAAGAGTTGCTTTAGGAGCTTATGCAAATCCTATGTTGTAAGTTATAATTATAAATAGATGCGTTTATCTTTGAGAGAGAGATATATATATATAAAATGCGTATAACTAAACCGCTTTTTATCATACAGATACGTTCATCCTGATTTCAGATGTATCCTGGTTCTCGATGAAAAGAAATTAAAGGATGCTGATCCACCACTTTTAAATAGATTTGAGAAACAAGTGATGACATTAGACGATATTCTTAGTATTTAACAAAAAGAATTAGTAACGCTGCTTTTGGATTGGACAAAGCAAATGTCAACAGTAACAGGAACAAATAGAGATAGATTTACTCAAAAAGATTTTTTTATTGGCTTTTGTGAAGAAGAAACATTGCAAAGTTTAGTTATTGATACTATAAACAAATATCCAAATATAGGAGAAATTTAATTTTTAGAAATTTGTAAGGAATCTTTAATCTCAATTGCTACATCAGATGGCATGGTTCGAATTGATAAATCTCCTTTAGAGTTTGAAGAAATTCAACATTATAAATATATTTATTTCCAAGTTCAACATCATAATGATATAGCAGATTACTTCCAAGATTTATTACATGAACAAAATGCTAATACTAATCCGGATGGACATTTAATCATAGTTAACTCGTTTTCAAACATCAACACAAATATCATATTTTGTTTAAAGAATGTAATTTCAAAATGTTTTGTTTTGAAACTTTCAACTTTCAAAACCGAGAATCAATTTCAAAAACAAATGAAAAAATTTTGGCTTGGGTCAGATTACGAATTATTAATATTACAATGTGATACCACTACTGTAAATTCAGAATGTATCAAATTAGCCAAGTTTATTATCGAACAATCCCGGGACGAATATTTACGGAAAGTACAAGAAAATAATGCTATTAAAAATAAACATGCTTGCATTATTCTTCATCTCCGTCGAGAAACAAGTGCAAACTTAATGTCGTTTAACTTTATGTGCGGATGGAAACAAATTACAATCGAAACATTAGCGAAACAAGAAAAACCTTTATCTGTTTTATTGGAAGGCAATTTATGTGATTTAATTGAAACTACTTATCCATTCGAAGATATATTGAAACAAGAAACGTTATGGTGTTTACTATGCATGAAGTATCCAAACAATGTTAAATCAGTTAATCATGTGAAGTAAGTATTGCTGCTATCTTAGTAAAAAAAAAAGTGAATTTGTTCGGATATAATAAAGTCTTAATTATTTAACTTTTTATTTAATTAGATACTTAAATAGGAAGATTCTTGAACATCCAAACTTCGTAAATTGTTTAAAGATAAGAACGCAAGAATGGTTGAAAATAAAAGCCAAACAAGATTGGCAATATCATGTGGCATCCAACAAAAAATTGTTATATCCGTATTCTTCGTTTTCTATTGCTTTACAAGCACACATCCGTACATTGGTTCGTCATCCTATTGCGAAAATTTTATGTTCTCTAGAGCGTCTAGGAGCTACAAAAACATTTCTTATTCATGACTTATCAGAAGCTGAGATATCACAACAACGCATACAATTTCTCAATTTCTGGAAAGAAATGTTTATGGATAATAATATCGTTGATATTGACATATTACCAGAACCTAAGCCAGATGGATATACAATATCCGTTAGTGGATTAAATCTACAATTTCCATTTTCATTTTACTTTATGAAGCAAATTGATAACTTCAAAACTTTATACGAGGAAGAAATATCATCACTTAGGGAAGATATGGAAAATATAGATCTTTCTACCGGAAAATTATTGGAGCACATTTACGAAGATTACATTAAAAGTTTTACCAATAAAGTATTTAATTCTATAACACTATTAAGGACTTCTCCATTAGAACAAGCTTCAGATTTATATTTTAAGGATTTTGTTAGCATAATTTGCAATAGTGAAACTAGTTTAAAAAATATTTCTGTATTATCCTATATTCTCAAATGTAAACTTGGTAAAGAGGAAATCTTAAATCCTATTTTATTGCATACATTTTGGTGGGAGCATGCTAATTCTACCTTAGCAGCATTTCAATTAGTTCACATGTGTCCTAACATTGTTAATCAAGTTTATATGGATGACGCTGATCTTACAAATGAAAATTTTGATGACTACCTTGTGGACGAAGTTACGAATATGATGTTCAGAAAAATTATTAAAAGTCAAGAAACAATTGAATTGCAACGCGAAATTAAAAAAGTTTTGAATCTCTGTGAAAAGGTTTCAGGTTTTACCAGGACAGAATCTTTTCAATTATTACAAATTTGCTATGATTTATTATCGACTGAGTTGATTACTTTGGATACTATCAAAGAAATTATCAAGACCAGAGAGACCAGAGAAACCGATGATGATGAAATTTTTTCAGCACGGTTTATTCACGATGTCTTTGAAATATTCAGAAACATTGAAACCGTTGAAGCCGAACAAGAAAACAAAATAACATTTGCAAAACAATCTTTTGTCATGAAAAGTTTAGAAATTATTCCATTCGAATCACCTTCTAGATTGGAACTTTATCGTAATTTATTCTTGGAAGATCCCTTTCCTCTTATGGGAAAAATTATTAAGAGTATATTTGAAGAAGAAAATAAGAATGAACCTTTCAACTTCTTTACATGGCTAGTTAATCCTGAAGAAATGTTACGTTCTTTACGATTTGAAATTATTAATGGGTGGTTGGAAGGTAAAGGCTGTGACTCGTCGATGGCGACATTATTTTGTGACATTATTCAGACAACATATTTTGCTCAATATGACTTGATTAAATTATCGCCCTATTTCCGTTATGCAATTGAGGCTTTATATGCTCGAAATACTAGGGGGTTACAAAAAATAACAGCGATTGCATTCATGAAAGAATTTGTTCATAGATTTTGGGATGAAACAATTCAAGTTACCATATTCCAATCGATTGAATTTAATTCTTTGAATTTGATGGAAACTGATGATTTTGACCCTAATCAAATGTTGAATCATCTTAATTATTTCATGGAACAATCTTATCCTTTGATCCATTCATTAAAGATTTATTTTATACGAGATTTACGTAATAGAGAATATTCTATGGATGATATCAAAAAATTTTGCCAGGGCCAAATAAATGCTTTGCCTTGGCTTGGTTCTTTAGCTTGGGATAATATTTAGGAAATTCGATTGCAATTTAATGCTTACTATTCTTTATAAGATTATTCTGATTTGGAAAATTGTTTTTCAATACTTTATTCTTACATTAATATAGATCAATTTAACCAAATCTTTAAAGCCTTAAAAAGGAAAGAATCAATTAATGCTAGAATTTCATTTATGGGAATTATTCTTAATCGTCTTCATGCTATAAGAGCAACAATTGATTGGGCTCATGTAGAAAATCAAGTTGCAGGATTTTTAAATGAAAATATTGAGCAAATTTCCTCTTTATCTATTATTTATAGGCAAATTATCATAAATATAACCACAAATCAATGTCCATTATTATACCTTTATATTGATACTAGTAATTCAGATTTACTAATTAAGTCAGTAGTTGGACATGTTATAGCATTGCATTCATCTCTTCCAGCAGATGCGTCACCATTAGCTAATTTACTGCAGAATTTGAATTATTGTAATGGGTTGTATATTCTCACTTGCCCGTCAGATGTAGAATCTATCATATTAAGTGCTGTCTTCCAAAAGAATGGTCAATTTACTCGGTAATTATATTTATATATATTTAGTTACAATTGATTTTTTATATATTTCAATTTTGTTCTAAAAAGTATTTCTTTTTTTTTACTAAAAAGGTATCAATGTAAATGTGGTTATGTTTATCTTATTGGTGATTGTGGGCAAGCTAATGGGCGAGGTAAATGCCCAGAATGTGGCAATATGATTGGTGGTGAGAATCATGTATCCGAAGCTGGAAATACAAGGTTAGATAATGCTCCAATCAGGAAAACTTTGGTTGCAAAAGACGACAAGGGATATATTGCTGAAGCTGAGAATGAAGATATCAATCATAGTGTTCGCAATTTACCTCCGGCTTCATATAGAATTCTTCATTTATTTATTCATTCAATAATTGGAGCTTGGGCTCCTTCTGGTACTGCAAATACCTTTTTACAAAAAAATAATAATGTAGCAAGCGATAGCCTGGCATATTGTACGAGACATATTAAAAATGATTGGAAAGTTCTTTTAAAAATTTTGAATTGCCGTGAAGAAAGTCTAGCTCTCTTACTACATGCAATTCTTGATAGAATGACCATGAATCCACCCAAAGATTTAACATTAAAGACACCTGGGGAGCGTGAAGAATGGGAAGCAAAATTTGCACAAAATTATGTTTCTCCATTAATTAAAAGTGTTACGAATACAGCTAATCAATTTCGTGCCAAACTTGACATTGCTTTGGCCAAAACTCAGGGAAATTCAAACATCATTGAAGGAGAAGTTAATCAAACATTACCGATGGATCGAAAATACAAACTTGAACATTTACCAAGACTTTGGAGATCTATAGGAACAATTAGTTTTCAAGGTTTTCGTGCTTATTACAATTCAGACATAGAAAAACACGAAACATATTTTCCTTTTATTTCAATATTCTTTAGGTATTCCGATAAATTAGAAAAAATTAAATACCTTTGGCCGATAGTGAATTTTGTACAAATAATATCATCACGTCTTGGATACCGCTTGAGTCGTGAGAGCGCGCAAGAAAAAACTTTCCAAAAATTTATAAATGAAGAATCTAATTACAGAAAATCTGATGAAATATTCAAATATTTAATTTCGAATTTCAATGATTTTGCTAAAGCTTGGAATGAAGTTATAAATGATATCGATCAATTTCAATGTCACGAACTTCCGAAACCAAAACCTGATATAAATTTGATATCCCTTATTTCACTTGCTTTGGTCGAACCAAAAGATTCGGGCGTGTATCTCAGTGCTATTTTAGAATATTTGATTGGATTACAAAACAATTTCTTACAAGAAGTTTTAACAATTTCTACAGGTTATTCTAAAGCGTTTAAATTCTTAGAAGAATCCTATTTTATACAGGTAACAGGAACTGTTTTCTCTTCTTCAGAAAGTTCTTCTCGTTTTTATATTCAATCTTTTTTAATCAATCAAACAAAACAAAATAATTTTATAAATTATGAATGGGATGAAAACATTCTACAATATAGTGATCGTAATCTTGAAACTGGACGAGGCCAAGATGTAATTTATGATTTACAAAAAATTGAAATGGATCTCGCGCATAGACTAGTTTTTGAAAAAGTTCATATATATACTTTGAATGATTCACAAGCATATATGGAGCCATTCCCATATCATATGGAATTATTTCAGGGACACATGAGAATTCTAGGTGATATCAAAACTTTAATTCCTCAATATTAAATTCCATCTGATAAGATTTCTTTAATTATGGGAGTAACTAACATTTTATACTGATATCATACTTATTATTATTCATTATCTTATGATAACTCGTCTGAACTTTTATCTTCATTGGAAATTTTACTTTGCTTTGTGAAACGCACTTCGGTTGGAAATGGAGAGACTCAAATCGCAGAATACGTTAACCAATGGATGAAATTATCTATATTATTAGATAACAAATCTTTTTACGATTTGTTAGGAGCTGTATTGTGTCTTAAGCATTTGATAGCTTTATATGAATTGATTGAAGATCAAGTTGCAAATTCCGTGATACAATATATCGATGAAAAATTCAAAACTTAAATTACAGACCAAGTAAAGCAGGAAATTTATTTAGCGGTTGGATTCGAACGAGTTTCAGATACATAAATATATATAAAACCAGAAATATTTGCTACTGCATTGAAAAGATTTATGCAAAGATTTTTAGATCCAAATAGGCACGAACACCCATTAAATGTTTATATAACAGATGAAGGATTAAATTTGTGGCCTGCTCATATTTCAATGGAATTAATAGACGACAAATTTCCTGACTCCTTATTAGTGTGTCATATTTATGAGGCTTATTTATATGTTAGTTCTAAAATTGAGGTAAAATGAAAATTTTCAAATTATATTATATTTTTTTTTTAAAAAAAAAAAAAAGTTTCACTAACTTATTATCTTATTTTTATAACAGGAAAATAAGAAAAAAAATCAACAAATGGGAGGAAATAGGAATAAATTTAAAGCCTCACAAAATTCGAATGATGTATTTTCTGAATCTGATTATAAAGGAAATAGGAATAAATTTAAAGCCTCACAAGATTCAAATGATGTATTTTCTGAACCTGATTATAATTCAGAAGAAGTCACGACCGTACCTATGAGTAGCGTGTATTTTAATACGGCATCATCGAATTCTTCTACGTTGCCATCAACAAGACCATTTGATAATAATTTTGCATCAGATTCAAATTCTTCTACGTTGCCATCAACAAGGCCATTTGATAATAATTTTGCATCAGATTCAAATTCTTCTACGTTGCCATCAACAAGACCATTTGATAATAATTTTGCATCAGATTCAAATTCTTCTACGTTGCCATCAACAAGACCATTTGATAATAATTTTGCACCAGATTCAAATCCTTCTACAAGAAGATCAACAAGAAATGATTTTACACCAGAATCAAATTATTCTACAGGAAGATCACCAAGGCCATTTAATGGATCAGAATCAAATTCTTCTACAGGAAGATCACCAAGGCCATTTAATGGATCAGAATCAAATTCTTCTACAGGAAGATCAAATTCTTCTACAAGAAGATCAAATTCTTCTACAAGAAGACCAACAAGGCAATTTAATAATAATGATTTTGCACCAGAATCAAATCCTTCTACAAGAAGACAAACAAGGCCATTTAATAATAATGATTTTGCACCAGAATCAAATCCTTCTACAAGAAGACAAACAAGGCCATTTAATAATAATGATTTTGCGCCAGAATCAAATCCTTCTACAAGAAGACAAACAAGGCCATTTAATAATAATGATTTTGCGCCAGAATCAAATCTTTCCACAAGAAGACAAACAAGGCCATTTAATAATAATGATTTTGCACCAGAATCAAATCCTTCTACAAGAAGACAAACAAGGCCATTTAATAATAATGATTTTGTACCAGAATCAAATCCTTCTACAAGAAGACAAACAAGGCCATTTAATAATAATGATTTTGCACCAGAACCAAATTCTTCTGCAGGAAGATCATCTAATAATAATTCTGCAGGGCCATCAAGGCCACGTAATAATGATCAAAGAAGAAAACCTAAAAAGCAGGGAAATAATTTTGATGCAATGTAATTTTATCCTTTGTAAATCAGAATTTATAATTATTTATAACGTCATTTGTGGCATTTATTTAGAAAATTAAGTAGCATCAGACAGTTTTTTTTTTAATGTTAAAAAAATTTTCGTGATATATTTATTAAATTAATAAAAATAAATAAGTGTCTATAAAAATAATTAAGTAAAAACCAGTTCATTGAACTCCGTGATCGGAGAAAATGTACTTGAAAAAAAAATATAAAGTGTGAACAACACTTCCAATAAATATTTTATTCTTTCGTGGGTAGATTTGCCCGGCAATTTTTAACATAAAATCCGCAGTTATATTATTCTGCATTTCGGAATTTACAAAATATCATTTTCAGGGTTACGGGATTTCGCCGAAAGTCATTTCTCCGAAAGGACGTTTCACCGAAAAATTGGGCCAACATTATACAACATTGTTAATAACTCAGGCCAGAGATTATATTTCGGCGATACCTATTTTCAGTTGTATCATTATGTGTCAGAATGAGATTCATCGAAAAACAATCAAGTTCTTAATCCAATATCCATGACTGTGATCAGTGTTATTGTGTTATTATAACAACTCACTAAAAATAACAAATATTAATATTAACTGATAAATAAAAGTAAAAGTATATTTTAATTTATTACCTTCTGTATAATTGGTTGACGGAGATTTGGAATATTCTCCAATATAGTAACGATTGAATTTTTCTCCGGGCTTTGCTTGATGGAGCCTTGATTTTCTCCGGAGATCATGCTGGAAATAATAGTAATACTTAGTATTACCTATTATTGATGTATTACAATGCATCCGTTTAAGTGATAGATAGGCTAATTGGCATCCTTTTTTATTTTATTTTATAAATTTTATTCCTTTGCACGTGAAATTCATTTTTTTTAATGACTATTAAGGAGTATATAACATAGTAATTCTATTATGCATCACATGTTTACAATTTTTCCTTACTATATTCCTCCTTGTTAAACCAATGTGGATCTGATCCGATTAATCCCAGATCTTGCCACACTCTTTAATTTATTGTTAAGAGTTATACGAATTTTTTTATATAATAATGTCTTGGAAACTTGGAGATATATAACATACATCATTTTTTTTTCTTTTTTTCTTTTTTTCTTTTTTTTTAAAAAAAAAGAAAAATTAAACCTTTGTTAAAATATAAAAATTTCGTGACAAAAATGGCTCGACTTTATCAGCAAATTTTTATTTCTATTAAATTTTTAGTTCCGATGATACATGTAGCATTGAATGTGTAAGTTCTAAAAATTTAGATTTATAAAAGGTTTCCTTCGTCCTAATTTTAATTTTTTTAATTTTTAATATTATAGAGAACGAATCCTGGTATCAATATTTTATAGCAAACATTAACCACAACTTATTTTTGCTAAATTTCATGTTTACGCATTTGGTAGTAAAATCATTCAGGAAAAAATATTTTTTATTAGTTTAACAAAGATTTAATCAAATACAATTATTTCAGTCCTTTTACATTCCTTTTACCTTCCTTTAATGCGGTATATGTATACTGCGTATATATATATATATATTTATTTATTCATATTATTTACTATATTTATATATTTATTTATTATTTTATCCAAGTAATTCTTCTTATTGAAGGGTTAATAATAAATACGCTAAGATACATCTTTTTTTTTAATCTGCTTATGAAAGTTGATTATTATTAAGATGTTTTTAACATTAAACCTATTTTTCATTTTAAATGTAAAACAAAGTTATAGTTATAATATCCTAGAAACAAATTCGCAGGACGCAGGGCGTCGAATTGGTGCAGAATCTATTTTTTTTTAAATAAAATGATATTGAAGTTTATTTACATACATAAATTACTTTATTGATTAAAGCATCAAAGTATTTGCTATTTTAATATTATTTTTAATAATTAAATTTACCATTAGTCATCCAGCAAAATTCAGTCAAATTTTCTAGCTCCATTGTAACTGCATCAATTGCTGTAGCAGCATTATGGTGTTTTATTATCAAATAGTCAATTATCATTTATCAACTTGAAAGAATGGCATTTAAAGATGAAATAATAAACTGAACATATTATCTTTATTATAATTTTTCTTCATGTTTAAAAATATTTCACAAATCTTAAAGAACATTCGTTTTAAAATTGAGCCTGGGAAGATTCTACTAGCATGGAAATGAGATAAAAACAATATGGCATGAAAAAAATTCTCATTACATAAATTCATATTTAAGTTATGATAATTAGTTGAAAATAACGATTTGTGCATAAATTAAATATATAAGTTAGCATAATAGTATACCTCAGTGATGATATTTTTAGTGTGGATATTTTACGAGTTAAAAGGACAAATAAAAGTTAAAAATTGTATACAGGACGTTATCATTGAATCAGCAATTTCATAAAATAACGAATACTTTCATTAGATACCTGTTACCTGTAATTCTCAGGAATTCAATACCAATAAACTTTTAAATGGAAATAAATACGTGCCTTAAAGTCACGTGATGCGTTTATAAAATAATTTTAAAGTTTATTTGATAATACGAAAATACATGTTATTTATAAAAAAAAAAAATACGAATTTAACATTATGTATAATATATTATGTTAATAGCCAACGAAGTCTAATCGTAAAAAATGAATAAATAAAAATGAGAAGTTTCGACATTTTCGGTATCAATTTTTATTACTTGTTATCACTGCCGCTGGTAAGACTTGAATCATTGTTGGGTACATTAATCATCCAAGAAGGTGGGGTAATTCCGGTTTGTTCTTTAATCGTGCTTAAAAGTGGGGGTATTGATTGAAAGATATTTTTCATAACACCTAATGAACCATCTCCACTTGATTCACCACCAGTATTCCAAACAGTAATCTTTGGATTAAGACCTTGAATGGCGTTAGCGTTCTCTTTAGCCAATTGTGGGTAAATATTATGTTCAATCATAAAATATTGTATAGCAGCATTGGTATCCCCTCCAAAAGCATCCACTATATTTTTAACACCTTCAGCTTGAGCATTATACATAGCTAAAGAACCTTCAGCTTCTTTTTGTTTTAAACACAATTGAGCCTCTGCATCTTTTTGTGAGGTATATAGTTTAGCATTTGCAACAGCTTTAGAAGCTTCAAATTCTGCTGTAGCTTTGGCAACATATTGTACACGTAATCTTTCTGTTTCTGATAATAATCTACGTTCTTCAACTTGTTTTTGTAATTCACTTTCACGCATTTTTGCAGCTTGAGTTGCTTCAATACTTGCGAGTTTTATTTTCTTTTCATATTCCGATTTTTTTGTTGCTAGAGTCATCTCAGCTTCTGCTACTTGCACCTTGCGTTCATTTTCTATAATAACGGTGTCGGATTCAATCTTTGCCGTTTCTTGACGTGTAAGACCTTCACGTTCTTTAGCACCAACATCTCCCTTATATTTAGCTTCAGCAACATCAACTTTAGCTTTATTTACAGCACCTTCATGAGTTTTCATACGCTATAATTAAAAGAAAAATTTTTTTAGTCACGTGATCTTTTATTTTTTTTTTTCACTTTTTACATACCATATAAGCAAAATATTCAGAGCCTTGAGTGTCTTGAAGTTGCTTAACATTAGCATTATAAATGAATAAACCGAATTGATCCAATTCAGCTTGAACATTTTTAATAACTTGTTCTTTAAAACTTTTTCTTTCTTGAAAGATTTCTTCCATAGTCGTAGCAGCAGCTATAACTCTCGTTTCACCCTCAATGATACCTCTAACTAATTCTTTTACATGTTCACTATTTTTACCATTCGTTGCTAATAATTTTGCATAGCGTTCTAATGCCTTTGGCTCATCTTTTGGTCCTATGGTAAATACAGCCGGTAAATTAAATTCTAATTTTTCAGTTGTCATAGCTTGTAATTGAAGTGTATAGTTTGCAGGTGTTATGTCAAAGAATATAGACCTTTGACCTGTGAAAATTTAGAAAAATAAAATATACAAAGAAAGTATAAGAAATTATAATTGAATTGTGAATAAGAAGAAGTATCATATGTTTACCTGGAAATACGAAAGACTTCTTTAACAATTTGACATCCTTAACGAAAGCACCAGTCTTTACCAAGTACTGATTGGGATTACTATTAAATTATAAACACGGATGAATACAAAAATAAATTAATAATTAATTAATGAGACAAGTAAATGATCTTTACCTGACTCTGTACATGATTACGAATTATTAAATGGTTATTTGCGTTTTTTTAGACCAAGGAAATAAGGAAATTAAAGTTGAAAAACGCGAGAAATTCGAGGAAAAAAAAATGATTAAAATTAAAGAATTATATTTTATTATATTTATTGTATTTGTATTTCGAGTTAAAAAATATTTATAATAATTATTTATAAATATATCGAAAAGAAAAAAAAAATTGGAAGCAGGAAAAATATGTTGAACTTATATAAGAAAATTTTTTGTGTTTATACATAATGAAAATTTTTTTTTTTTTATTTCGAGTTTTTTGGAAAATCGTCGTTTGTTTGATCAAATTTAGACTTATTTCCTTGATGGCTGAAAATTTGATTTTTCGCGCACCGTAACATTTCGATCTAAAATTTTAAAGATAATGTTATTTATTTATGTGACCCGAATCCGATTTGACGTCAAGAATTTTCTTATTGAAACAATCGAAACATTATTTTTTTATTTAACCGTAATTGGAGATTAATATGTACAATTTTCATCTTTATAGAAGAAAATAATAAAAATAAAAATAATAACACAAAAAGAAGTTTTCTTTTTTTTCTTTCAAGATGCGATGCGAAAGATATCTTTATGTGGTCACTTGAACTCGTCACTTGAATATGTTGATCCCACGGATTATTCACACAAAAATAGCTAAATAAAGAGTTCCTGTTATCAGACTTGCCGCAGCAAAATCAGTGACACATGATTACACAATAAATAGCTTTCTTGTTTATCAAAATAAAATATTCTTTTTATTTCCTTCTTACTTCATAAAAAAAAATTCTTCAAAGATTTAACATCAAAAATGCCAAAAAATAATGTAATCTTTAACGTAGGAGGAACCAAATTTGAAATATCAGAAGATTTAGTAAAGAAATATCCAAATAATGAATTATATTCCCTCTTTTTATCAGCATCATCAAAAAATGAAATATTTATTGATCATAATCCTTTAGCATTTAGCGTAATTCTAGACTACCTTCGTTATGGTAAATTGTTAGTACCAGGAAATGTTGCCAAAGAAGTTATTGAATTACAATTGAAAGAATTTCGTATACCTTATGATAATATAGTTGAAGATGATAATGAAGAAGATAATTTACCTAGTTATGAATCTATTATTGGCGAATTCTCTGCTCCTTATAAAGATTATAAAAATTCTTTAAAAGATACTGTTATTAATAACGCTATAAAAAGGTATTATACACTTTGAATTCTACGCAAAAAAAAAATATTTCTTTCTTGACTTTTTTTTTTTTTTGTTATCTATAGATTGGATACTTTGATTCAAGATGTCATTCTTCCTTATTTGAAACGCCATGCTAAACGTGGACATCAACAAGTAACATTTTACTTGACACCAAACGTAGTTACATCTAAGAATATTACAACAGAACTTGAACATTTGACGGATCCACATGAATGGATTTATCTTCCTTATTCTTCACAATCTCATTCGAATCGTTCTTTTAATTCATCTTTCTCTTACTCAACATCTAGTTCGAAATTTTTTAATTCTGATAAGAAAGAAGAAGTTAATGATAATGAAGAAGATTTACCTGATATTCAATTTTTGTTACAAAGTAATAATCTAAAGAAATTACAAGATTTCATTCTTGCAAAATCTGGTGTCAAAAAAGTTGTAGCTAAACAAGTTGAAGTTTCTTGTAGAACTGAAAATGAATTTGGTTTATTTTTTACTAAATCTTTTGAAATAATTCAAATTGATGTTATCATTGTTTAAATGGTAGAATACTAAATATTATTAAGTATTAGATGTATTATTTGTATTTTTTTTATTATAAATGAAATTATTAAATATATTTTATTGATTATTCATATATTTATTATTATTAATTAGGTTAATTAAATTAAAAGTTTCTCATTGTTGTTAAAAATTTATTATTAAAGCATGCTGTCGTTTTTAATAATTAATCGCACTAATTTTGACTATACAGTATGTCCCTTGCAATAATGTCAAAAAATGATGGTCCGGAAATAAAACTTTTTGGGTTTTACCATTCTAGGGTCAACCTATCAACTCGTTAATCTTCACCGTTGGGTACTAACAACATTACATCATTTGTATCAAAAAGCAAAATTGAAACAACGGGATACTCAATCCTTTAAAGATCGCTAGTGAAGATTATACCTTCTAAACATAATCAACCACTACCGGAAAAACAAAATCCATTACCTCCTTATCGGGAATATCTACAGGTCGGGCGGGATAGTATAATTATAAGCTTAAGGGTGAATTTTTTTTTAAAAAAAAAAATAAAATAAAATAAACGTTGATTCACCAAATTGACGATAATTTTTAGAAAGTGTGAACTATAAAGAACAAAAAAATTAAAAAATTTTAATCAATATGTCAAAATTATTTTTCAAATAATTTCCTTAGATTAGAAGTGCGAAAAGTTTAGCAGATCGAGGAGAAATGAGAAATCATGGTTAGGATATTGTGATATTGTTGTTTCATCTTCGTATTGATATTTTCTATTTTGAGTATAGTTTAGAATTCAATTTAGTACGCTGCTAAATATACGCCACACGTGTTTGTATACAATATCAATAATAATTAATGGTTCTTTGTTGAACATATATATATAAATGTCCTAAATAAACGAACACACTTCAATCAACTTCATCTAGCATTGATTAAGTGAGAAAATCTGAAAAATGTTGAAAATTCTCATTTGATTTATTTTTATACTTTGTTTTTTATTATTTTTGGTAAATTCATATAATGCACTTTTGCAAATATATAACAACAATGATATAACTTATTCTGGAAAATGCCTTAAATAAATGATCTTCATGATTTCATGTTTTATCCCATAATTCGGGTAATAATATAAATTTAACATAATCACGTACCACAACTTTTTTCTTCGTCTCACAAACGACCAAGAACATACAAATTCTCATTCTTTTATTTATAGTATTAGAATGGGTCAGACAGTGTTCAAGATTAAATTTATGGTGTTCAAAAGTAAAACCTCGCTCTGAATAGATTTTATTTTCTCTGAAAGAGTGATGACCGTAGACCCAAACAGATTTAATCACAATGGGTAGTGCAATTAAAGATTAAATAATAAACAGTAATTATTAAATTTTTAATTACGCACTAAAATTGGAAATATTAGAATTTCTGTACTTGGATATACCCCAGTCTCTACTAGCCGTATCAGGTATAAGATTTTTTTACATTGTAATTTTAAATTTATGCGTCACTATATTTAGGAAATTCATTAAGGCGAAACATACATGGCATTAATCAACCATAGTTAGAAAAATACTATCATTACTATTATTATTATAATTATTATTATATATTATTATATCTTCCGGAGCTTACATAGAAAAGTTTATTCGTTAATTATATACAATTTGATGGTTTAAAAATAAATAAATAACTTTAATAGACCGGAGGTTATAAAAATATGGCACAGTTTTATAAATTTATGAGTTTATGATGCATTAATGATCACACATTTCATCATCATCTTTTTTTTTTAATTGGTAAAAGAATATATTGTGATGTCATTTTTGTCGACCCCAATGATAAGGTTTTGGTTGCCAGTTAAATTCGAAAAAAAAAAATTTCTTACGTAATTTTTTTAAGCCTTTTTTTAGTATGATTTAGTATGGAAAGAAACATTGTTTACATATCTTACCCATTTTAGTTAAATCAATTAATAATTTTTTTTTCGGATCTTTGTATATATAAATAGAGCAAGAAAAGTAGAATCTTTTCTCATCAATTATTCCAATTATTTTCAAAAAAAAAAATAAATTAATTAATACGTGAAAAAATGGGACATATTAAACCTACACATATTTTATTTTCATCTTCACATAAGAGTATAACTTATGATCCAATACCAATTATTTTAATATTGGCTAATTCAGTAAATTTAATAGGATGTATTGAAGTTAGTTATCGCGTTTATTATAAAAAATGTAAAATTGGAAAATATCTACTTTTACCTTTAGATTCAAAATTTTCTTTATATATTGCTATTTCAAGTATGTATTTTATCTTTAATAATTTCGTCAAAACTTTCCTATTATTATTATATTTTAAAAAAATTATTACTTTTTTAATAGACGGTCTTCTTGCTGTAATGCAAATCATTGACATGGTAACGTGATTATATTTCTTTTATATAGTAAATACATATAATTAACAATCGCCCATTCGCTCTATTAAAAAAAAATCCATTCTTTTTTATAGGTACTCACTTGTACAAACATGTTAAAACCTGGTGCAATTTGTGATATAACAGGAAGATTTTCACCAAGTTTTTTAACATTAAATCTACTTTCAGTTATGTCTTTTGCATATTTAATTTATTTGAAAATATGTAAAAATATTGATGTGAATGAAAAAACTGGAAAATATGATTGGAAATTATGGAAATTATTATTTCTGGTTTCTTGGGTTGCAACTATTTTCGGTTTAAATAGATATGAACCTCGAAGTCTATGGTAAGAAATCCTGAGTATGATAGGAAATTTTTTTGAAATAATGGCAATGAATGCTAAAATGATCCAATTTTTTAATTATATTAGGTGTACGAATCAACCGAAAGGAGAAATTATATATTTATCTAATATAATATTTATTATAAGTGTATTATTCTCTACAATATTAATATACTGTAAACTTAAAAATTCAAATATGAATCAAATAAGTATAGTTGAGAAATATATACCTACTCATCCGCATATTGTGCGAAATGCTGCTTCTTATTTATTAGTATTCTTTTTACAATGGGTAAATATAAATAAATTTATTAAATTTCTTATTTATAAATTATGATACTGAAATTTTTCTTTTTTTTTTTAATAGACTTGCATTTTGATATATAATTTTTCGTCAATTTTTGAAATAAATGATAAATTAACGAAAACATATTTTGCAGCATTATTAATTTTAGGTAAGTAAAAAAAAACATCATATGACGATAATAATTTTTTAAATCATTTAATTAAATGTTTATTTTCATATTTTAAAATAGGTATTAATTTTGGTGGAATCGGTAACGCCATGGTATATATTATAAATGAGTATAGAACACAAATCATTGAAGAAAATTCTGACAATTTGATGGGTTCTTTCTCTACTAAAACTTATGGATCATTAGATTGTTAATTTATGTTTAAAAAAAAAAAAAAAGTTTCAATATATAGTGATGTATAGTGTAAAAATCATTCGTTAGGAAAATATACGTTTAATATGTAATTTTTTTAAATAAGTTCATTGTATTATAAATATTTCATTATCAAAATAAAAACTTCAAATTATGAATTTGATTATCTAATGCTCACGTGATCTCTAAATTCGATCGAACTCATAGTCTCATATAAATAAAATAATACTTTAAAAAACAACAATTACTTTTTACTAATCGTATATAAATACTTGCAAAAGAAGTTCCCAAATGGACAAGGGGAAATCAAAATTCATTTATCAATGGTGGGATCACTTATTGTCTAGAATTGCTTCCTGAACCTGTTTTTAGTGTTTTTAATACCCGCCACTTTATAGTCACAATGCATTCATTTGTGATCGTCAATTATTTCAATTAAATTTATTAATTACAAATAAAATACAAGATATTACAGAAATTTTAAAATAGAAGAAAATCACTATATATTTAAATGTCTTCTATAATGCACCCAAGTGGATATATATAATACAAATACCGTCTCCCTCCAAAATAAAATAATTTAAAATCTCATTATATCAACTTTTTTTGACCTGGACTTCTTGGACCCATAGGTCTTGTGCCAATAATGTTTTGATTATCATTATCATTATTATTATTGTTGTTGTTGTTATTATTATTATTATTATTATTACTGTTGTTATCATCACCATTATGTTTTTCATTATTAAAATTATGGAAATTATTATAAAAGTCATTTGCATTATTTGTATTATGAGTATTGTAATTCGATATTGGTGGGAAATGATTATTTTGAATATATGGATCTTGAATAAATTGTGAAGGATAATCCTTTTCATTTTTTTCGTTATCATTATTATTATTAAGTTTCCATTCAACCCATGTCTTTCTTGGAATTTGATTTCTTTCAAATAAATCTGACTTATTTCCTCCATGACCATTATCTTCACCAGCAATTTTACGTGTAGCTCCCCATGAAAAATCGTCAAAGTGCCAAAAAGCATAAACTGGTAAAATAAAATTCCAAACTGGCATGGCCAAAATATAAACGAGCATCCAAAAAAGATACATAATTTTGTGTGATGTAAATACAACCAGAAAAGCTTGTAAAAAGAAAGTAGCAGCAATAAAAATTAAGGGTAAGGTAACATTAACACCTTTAGCGGCTACAATAATTAAATAAAACATAAATAATAAAGAAGAAGGTAATACTACTGTTCCAATTAGTTCCAAAAAGATGACAAATTGCATAGAACAACAAAATAGACCACAAAGTTGTGGTACAAGAATTAATTCCATTAAATTATGTAATGTAGAATTTATCCATCTTCTTCTTTGTGATAATAATACTTTAAATTCATCAGGTACAACTGTTTTACATATTGCTTTTGGAACGTAAATCATTTTACGTCTTGGAAACGTCCTTAACATCAAAGTTGTAAGATATCTATCTTCTCCAAGAAGTAATAAATTTTTTTGATGTAATGTTTCAACAGTATTTGAAGAATATAATTCTACAATATCAGGATTAGCAAGTATAGGAACATAATATCCATCATATTTTGGTGCTTTTATACGATACATACAAAAACATCCTGGTAAACATGTTACACCACCAAACATTGATTCAAAAGATTTTCCAAGATGATGTGAAATATAATATTCAAATACTTGTATCATTGTAACCCAATTTGTTGACTTATTAACAATTTTAGTTTCTCCGCAAAGTCCCATAACAGTTGGATCACGTTCCATTGCTGCTACCATTCTACTAACACTATCTTTCATTACTACCGTATCTGCATCCACCATGAGTATCATCTCATATCTATCAGGTGTTACTCCTGTTAACGTTCGTACCTTTTCAAATAATTCAAATTCTAATGGAGTCATGCGTTCATTAAAACATATATTACTAATCCATTTCATTAATATAAGCTGTGAATCTCTTTTGCCGCGATTACCAGCCTTAGATCCCTTCCTTTCTTCTGGAGTACCAACTTTATTAATTAAGCATATTGGAACGCGATGTCCATCACAATTATAATAACCAATAATAACTTCCGCCATATTATGTTGCTTTTCACCATCTCCTATGGCTAAATATGATTGTGGTATTGGAGGTTCGAAATCGGATAAATCGAATGGTTCAATTAAATCTTTACAAATTTGTGGAGTTGATCTATCATTACCTGATCCAGTTATATTACCATCCGCAATAACTAATAATAATTTATGTTTATCGGAATAATCCGAACAGGCTAATGAATCAAGTGTTGTACGCATTGAACTTTCCCCTTCAGAATAACACGTGACTAATAATAAAATGTGTGATCTTATATCATCAGTCATTGGTTTTTTTGATAATTTACCAAGTTGCCAGGATAATAACCAATCAAATGCTACAGCAGAAATAAATTTAATCAAAGAAATTCCGCTAAATACGACTATCATTACAATAATTATTAAATCGTTTGCAAAACATCCAATTGTAGTCCCTTCAATTTTTCCAACTATAAAATTAGGTAAACATTTTGCAATATCTTTTCCTCTTTTGGTCCGAACGATTTCTTTTGTCGAATCTTTACCAAGAAGACCTTTAAGCCATTCTGTAACGCTGTCATCTCCAAGCCATTTATCTCCATTCGAAGGATCAAGATATTTCTCTAAATCATATACTGAATTATCATAAACCAATAGTGTAGTATTAGTTTGTGTTATATTTTCCCAAGAGTAAATAACATTTTCCTTTATATCAAATTCCTTTAATTTGTTCAATGAATCAGTTGAAGTATGACAATGTAATAATGAATTGTTTGTTACAATTGCTTGATTACAAATTGGTCCATTATTTTTAGGAGTAAAAGGACATCCTATAGCTTCATTATTCACAGGGAAATAATCCGATATATCTTGTCCAAATGTTGGAAATATTATAGGTTTTAAAAGGTCATCGGTAATTGGAGGTGTTAATGGACGATGACTACCAAAAAGTATATATTCTCCAGTATTATAAATTTTTCCGTGAATGATATGCATTTTTTGATTTGGTTGATTTGGTCCAAATTTCTCATATACATCTTCTTTATAAAATTCTAGTTTTTTGGCTCCACATGTAACTGCCGCTAATCCAAATGCTAAAAATCCCATAATCAGTGATATTATTAATATAATGACAACTAAAGCTACTTTTTCACGCCAAGCTTGACGTACGTTAGGATCTTTCATTTTACCAATGATGGAAAGACAGGGATCACAAAAACATGCTGTAACAATTAATGAGAATATTACCCATGGGGTTTTATTTTCTCTCGGTGCCATATCATTTTTTAAATGTGGTGTAGTTATTGTATGAGATTTTCCTCCACTTGTATTATTATTAGTTACTGGAATATTATTAAAATATTGTGAATCAAGATTCTTACGTTGAAGTTTTGTACGTTTTGAATCCCTACGATTTAATGGCATCAAATAACCTCTTGCATTATTATTATTAAATAGATCTTTTGTATAAAAATTTTGATTTGTAAAATTTGATTCAATTGGTTGTTGTGGCGCCGCTGTAGGAAATGTTTCTGGTGTTCTCTGAAGAGAATTTCTATTTGACCGATGAGGTGGAGGCGGTAGAGAAGATGGTGGTATGGGCTTATTATAATAATCATTATATATATTTTTAATATTATTGTTATTATTGTTATTGTTATTATTATTGTTATTATTACTACTACTATTATTATTATTATTGAATCTCTCAATTAAATTTGCTACATTAGTATGTTTAGCGTCATGTGCAAGTATAATTGCCGTTTTTCCGTTGATCGTTTTAACTGAACTATCTGAATTATATTCCAATAACAATTGACATACTGCTTCATGTCCATTATAAGAAGCAAACATTAATGCAGTCCATCCATACTTTTAAAGAAAAAATAAAAGAAAATTAATAAATTGAAATATTCTAAAATCATGATAACGTCAAATAATTGAATTTTATACCTTATCCGTAATGCGCACATTTGCACCTCGAGCCAATAAAATTTTAGTTACTTCAACATGACCTTCAAAACAAGCTAATGATAAAGCGGTTTTTTGAGAACTATCTTGAAAATTTACGTTGGCATAACCATGGTCAATAAGAACACGACAAACTTCGGCATGGCCATGATAAGCGGCAATAATAAGTGGTGTAATATTTTCATTATTACAACATTCAACATTAGCATTAGCATCTATTAATATATCAACCACTTCAGCATTACCCATAGAAGCAGCTTGATATAATGCCGATTCACCTTCATTATTTTGTAAGTCAATATCAACATTTGATAATTTAACTAAATATTTTACAACATCAGAACAATTTTCACAAGCTGCTACCATCAATGGTGTTTTACCATCTTTATTTCTTAAATTGTTCGGATTAAATTGTGTTTGATTTAATATAGATCTAACTAATCCTACATTATTTTGTAATACTGCATTAAAAATCGCTGATGATGGATTTAATGGTGCATTTAATAAAGGTGGTGGTGTACGTGATGGTGGTATCATCGTTGATGCTGATGTATATGGTGGTTTATAAAACTCATCCATATTTCTTAATTAAATGTTATAATAGTCTTTTTTTTTAAATCGAATTGAAAAATTAATAAAATTAAATTCTTTTCAAGTGAATAATTTTGTAAACAGTTGCAATTCGAAAAAAAATTAGATAATCCGCAAAAAATTTGTTTTAAAAAACTTGTTATATCATTAAATCCTGTTTTAATAAAACATGAAAAAAAAATACGTATATAAATACCCCAACCAGAAAAAAAACATGAGGAGAGTAAATAAAAAGAAAAAAAAAGAAAAAAAGAATGGAAGGTCGGGGTAATTATAGATTCATAATTGGAAAAGGGGCGGGGTAATTTCTTAAAAAAATATATATACAAATCATTATATAAATTATATCAATTTCCTAAAATAATTATATTACATTGTTACAATTTTCTTAATGTAGACAGAATATACGAATTCACCTTCTATAAATAGATTTTTACCGTCATATTTTTAGGCAAAAGGGTGAATTAAGGGGAAATATTTTTTTTTTTGCTTCTTTTTATATGAATTAAATGCAGTAATCCGTAATACTGAGTTTGAAGAATTTTTATACCTGATACGTCATTTGTGATATCAATAATTTGCGAGACAATAAGATCAGAATTGATCAAATGATCATGTGAAAATTACGTTCTTCCATGTGACTCGCTAATCTTGACCGGAATTATCATTATTTGTTGAGTAATTTGACAATTTTTGTTTATTATTTATTTGATGTGGAAATAAATATCGGGTATCTCCCCATCCAACAAATATGTCATTAAGAAGTAGGTGTTGATACTTATTATGTCACATAAAAATATCGGTAATTAAAATCCCGTATATTCCCTAAATCCTCCTAATTGACTAATCTTGGAATTCAGAATTTAAAATATGCAAAGAAACTCATTTATAAATGATATTATAGGCAGATATTGATTATATGTTTTAAAGTAATAAACTTAGTAAAAATGAATTAATTAAGTAATTATAATATTTTTTACTAATTTTAACAAATTACTAAAAAATAGTGGGCACGCATAGGACCAATCTTCTGGATAATATAATTTACTTTTATATAACTAATAAATTATATAAAAATTTTAATATTTGATATTTTATACTACTGATTTATACCTTTTAATTTTTTAATACTTTCTTTTCATCTAGTAATCAGATTAAATTACTATCTATTTATTTATTCAAATATACAAAAGTATATAAAAGTTTAAAATAATATATTAAATTCAAATATTATCATTTGACTCGTAGTAACAAATTTTATTTTAATTAATCTAATAAAAAAATAAAGGATAAACTTTTTTCATTTTAAATATAATAAATTATTAATTAAAATTTAAAACAGATAATTTAATTTATCGTAGTATATAAAACTAGGAAAATGGAGCAGGGGATAAATTATAGTGACGTAGATGGAAGGAAAGAAAAATACATGGGTTAAACCGGTACTACAAATTTATCTAGTTCCGTACAATAAATAGTTCTTTGCTATGCTCTGGACAGCAAGTGGTATTTTTTTCCTATTCCGTAATCTGTGAAATCTGTGAGATGTTTTACAAAATACCTTTATGGATTTTTTTAAAAGAATTTATATTATTTTTATTTTATATTTTCATAAAGTTCTCAAGTTAACTTGCAACATATATTTTTTTTTATTTGGATCTGCCTGGAAAAAAATATGTGAAAAATTATATTCTTAGTTCTTAATCATTCTACCATTCCTTCATAGGAAAACATGTCTTATAAATAAAAAAAAGTTGGATTATCGTTTAGGGATTGGAACCAATTAAAGCAATTAACCAGTTAGGATAATCCAAAAAATGGTAACCGGTTAATTTAACCGGTTAAATATGAAGATATATCAGATAATTTTTTAATTCAAAACCTCCAATATTCCTATATTGACTAACGGCTAGCTAAAAAAATAAACTGATTGAAATTTTTTTATTGCTCAATTTTTTACAAAATTTTTTTTTTAACCTATTTTTTATACAACATAGATAATATTGACTATAGTGATATACAAGAATTTCAATCTGAGTTATCAAGACAACAATCTTCTTTTTATCAAAGTACAGTCAAACCTTGATATAGCGAACTTTTAATATAATGAATTTTTCAGACAATTATAATAAATTTCCCCTTGCTATAACAAATTAACCAATCAAATCTCTTAAAATCTTCACTATAGCCCTATAGCGAAGTTGAGGTCTGGAACCTAGAGTTCGTTATAACAAAGGTTAACTGTATTTACTAGATTACTAGCACTAATAAGATAAATAAATATCATAATTAAATACTTGAAATGTTATCTATAAAGTCTTTTTGGAGAAAATATAATAGGTTAAAAACAACCAATCATTTTCATTATTTCAATTTTATTATTTTTACTAGTATTTATATTTACATTACCATATTTGCCTAAAAATAAGCAATCACCAAAAATAAGCAACATGGCCCGCATTATAACAAATTTTGGCCCACAATCTATACATGCTGCCCAAATTATTTTGGGATGCCATAATTCATTCAGTTTATATATAATTTACTATGTAAAGTACCAAAATAATTTGGGATGCCATATTAAATTATTGTATAAATACAACATTATATATTTTAATTATTTTAGTTAAATGTTCTTCTTTCAGTTAAATGTTTATCCATGTTCCATTTAGTATATTATTTATTCTTCAGATAATTATTCTTCTAATCATGTGATTATCCCAATATCTAGGATTACAGTGTAAACATTTTTTATTAAAAATTTTAAACCGAAAAATACTTTCAGTAAAATTTTATGTAATAAACAGATCAAAACTAAAAATTGAAACCAAACCAGAAATTCAGAGTTTTATCCATTTTTCTATAATTTCATTTCCTTTATTATAAAATTTTACTTTAATATCTTTCTCATCTTATAATTGATCTTTAATTTTTTTAATTCTTCTTTTAATAATTTAAACTGAAGTTCCTTCATTTTTTAATTACAGTTAAATCTTAATATAGCAAACTCTTGATATAGTAAATTTTTCAGACAACTATAATAAATTTCCCTTTGCTATAATGAATTAACCAATCAAATCTCTTAAAATCTTCACTATAGCTCTATAGCGAAGTTGAGGTCTAGAAAGGACCCCAAATATTACTAAAACAACTCAGATCCTGTGTAACTAAAATTTTAAAATGCAATATCTCGGTCAATATTACACCTAAAAAGATGAATTATATATCAAAATGTTCGTCTTGGTGAGACGAATATAACAAGCCAAAGATCATTAAAATCCAATCACTGGATCCTGAGATAGCAAAATTTGAGTCTAAAATCTACATATAACTTTATATATTTGGAACAGAAATTAATTATAAGGTTTATACAAATTCAGATCTGAGTTTTTTTAGTAATATTCGGGGTCCTGTCTAGAACCTAAGATTCGTTATAACAAGAGTTGACTGTATTATTCTTAATTTTGACAATTTTAGGTAGAAAGTCGACTTTTCACTTATATATATACCTTTTAATGTTACATTAGCTTACAATTAATTTTAATTTTTATTAATCTTTAATTTTTATCTTCTTATTAATATCTCACTTCTTTGTTTTCTATTAATTTGTTTCTTTACACAGGTCAAAAAACGATCTATCTCACACATATCGGGTACCTATATATCGGTGACTAATTAGGTACATATCGGGCATTTTTACATATTAATAACATATCGGGTACCCGATTTGTCACATAATGCGCAAATTTCAAATATGGTTAAAAAAATGTAAATTACCAAGTGTCCGATATCCAAACTATTAGTCACCGATCCGTTATCTAATATATATCGGTCACTGATATTTGTACGATCTTTAAAAAAATTTGTGTGTTTATTTAATATTATCGTAGTGCGACCAGA